CTGAATCATGATCTGGAACCTCCCAAACTATGAGCCAGAACTCCTATTCTTTTCAAGTTAATTGTCTCAGGTATTTTGTTATAGTGTCAGAAAGCAGGCTGGTAGACGTTATAGACGATATGAAGCGAAGCCAGTGTATCAGACAGTGTATGAGGAAAGACCCTGTGAGGACTGAGGTTTAAGTCCTGACCTGGGGAACAAGAAGGATGGAGCCATGGCAAAGTGGAAGAGTATTCCAAAGATGCATCAGGGCATGTGCAAAAGTTCTGAGGCAAGAACCAATGATTTATAGATTTATAGAGCCCACATCCTGGATTTCTGTTCACTGAACAACCACCCTGTTTAGGCAATAGAAGACCCAAAAGAGCATTTGAGTCAAATATTTCTGAGAGAAATCAGGTTATGCTGTGAGCACCTGGGATTGATTTAGTTCACACTTCTAAAAGGGGAATCATGCATTTGGAAAATTCCAGAACTGCAGAGTTTGAGATTCTATGAGATGTTAGCCTGTTGCCCCTCAACACAAATCCCATCTTATATAGCTTCCAACTTGTTTCTCTTTCCCCAGTCCTTGATCCTAGAAGATGAAAAGTGTGAGTCACATCATTTAGACCATTTCATTGTGTTACATTTTGGGATTGAATCGAAAGGAATATTTTTTTTTTCTGAATCTAATGAAAACCTTCCCATTCTGCTGTTACTATCGATGTGCCCCTGAGCACATTCCCTAGACTCCCAAACCTGGTTCTTCCTCTCTAAAACAGCCCCAGCAATGCCCACCCTACAGAGATCACATGGCATTTACGAGAATCAGTTCAATATGCAGTTATTAAGCACCTAAAAGCCAATCACTTGATGGACAGATATTTATTAAATCCATCTCTACTAGGCTCCAGGCCCTGTGTGAGACTCTGGAGATAGAACAGAGAAAGAAATGTTCTAGCTTCCAGGAACTAATGGTCCACTGGGAGAGACAGGATTAAAGTACAATAGATGTGACTTTAAAACCTAAATGTAAACATACAAAACATAACAAAGATATCCATGGTCTGAAAATGAAATCCTGTTCTCAGCTCCCCACACATCTGTGGGCAACACGATGAGAATTCACTCTCTTCACGTGGAACTTGCAAAGGACCTCGATGTCAGCCTTGCCCGACTTTCAGCAGAGAACTAAGTTGCGCTAGACCCAGAATCCTGACCCAGGGAAGCCCCAGGAGAACAAATGGGTTGTTCTAAGCCGTTGGTCGTATGATAATCGGTCACATGGCTATAGAAAATAAGTACGCATTCCCTCCAGCCTGTTTGGTCTACCCTGGTTTCTGTCGATTACACTGTGGTATGATTCCTAGAATTGGCTGGATTTGCTGCTGTTTCCATGACACCCAGGACACAGGATTTCCTGATGCCTGAGAGTCCAGAGGTTGGGTCCAGCCCCTCCTGGGTGCACCGACTCCAAACCGTCGTACTGACCCAAGGTCCATGTCGCTCATGGGACGCCTGCCCACCCATGTCCATCTTCACTCTGGGAGAATTTTTTGCTGTTGGAACTCAAAACCCAACCCCTCTTCCCTCTGTTCCCCTTCTCGGATGACACCAGGATGGCTGAGGATGTCACACGGACTCTGGTTGACAGAGAGCAAGGGAAGGAAGGGCCCTGCCTCGGGTCGGGGGGTAGGTCAGAAGTCAAACTCCCGCCGTCTCCCATTTGTTCCCATCCGACAGCAGGGAAAACGGAAGACATCTCCATCTCTTTCCTCGCCATCCTCCCGACGACACCGGACAGTCCTAGGCGCTGAGATCTGGAAGGGGATCGGGATGCAAGGGGAGCGCGTGCCGGGGGCCACTCTTTGGCCTGCCGAGTTTTGAAGATGGGCTGGTGGAAGCGGTGCGGAGGCCCAGCTGCAGAACGAGGAGGCAGCCAGGTGACGGGTCGTGGGGGTGGAAGGAGGGGAGGAGTGGAAAGAGCTGAGCCAACGAGGAGCCGGGCCTGGAACTGTGGCGGGGTCCACTCCAGGGAGGGACGCTGCCTCTGCCCCTGTGAGCATCACAGACTCCCGGCGCTCGGTGGCCTCTGCAAACAAGCATTCGAGGGTTGCTCCTGGGATCGTGGAAGGCTGCGCCTCTCCAGATCACCTGGGATCCCTAGGTGAGGAGCCGGGCCAGGCACTGGGTCTGCTCCACCTGTCCCCTCGCTCTCTGGTCCAACCTCGGTCAGGGTTTTATGGGGCACTGTGGGTGGACTGAACACATTAGGCCAGTGTGACCTTGACACAGCCAGACACCTTCCCGTGTCCCTTCAGGTGTAGCATTGAAGCCACAGAGGGTCGCTGGAGCCCCCAAACTGGACTGCCAGACTGTGCCAGGACTCACAGTCTATGATAGACTGCCGCTTCCTCCTGGGGTCGTGGTCCTGATAGGACGAACAGTCGAACAAGCAGGAAAGCCCTATTTAAATGGGAATATTCTGCTGAGATGATTGACAGTATCCTGTGCCCCAATCCCTGAAAATAACAGAAGCACTATTATTAAAAGGGAAAAAAATCAATACAATCATGGGCAGCAAGAAGCAGGTGACATCCACAGACCACAAACTAGGAGGAGTTCCCAGGAGGAAGTAGGATTTGATTTGATGGAAGGAGGACAAGTTGGTGGGAGGTTTGGGGACATGATGGGTGGGGAGCGCAGGGCACGGATGCTCCCAGGCCGGGGCGTCGTCTTGGTTTTCTTACAGCTGCGGGAACACTGTGTCACTTGCTAGGTGGCTCGAAAACATACGCTTTTTGTCTCCTGATCTTGGAGACCAGAAGTCCAGCCTCCAGGTGCCATTGGGCTCCGGTGGGCTCCGGCGGGGGGCTCCAAGGGAGAATCCGCTCCTCACCTCTCTCTGGGTTTGGGGGGTTTGCTGGCCATGTTGGGGACTCCCTGGTTTCTAGAAGCAGCACTGTCCTGCTGGGGCTCGGAGCCTGGGAAACAGGTGGGGAGAGGAGCCATGCTGCCTTCGGCGGTGACAGGAGTCCTCTGAGCCTTCCCACAGGCCCACAGCTACAAACCGGAGCACGTCAACACAGCCGACATTCTCCATGTACGATGCCATCCGGGATCACAGTTTGGCAACGTGGGCTCCACCCTGGAGTCTCCTGGGGGAGAGTTAAAGATGAGGATGCCTGGGTCCCACCATTCCATGGATCTCCAGGGCACCCTAGGCCCCGAGATTCTCTTTAAAGCACTCGGGTCGTTACAGTGGGCAGCTCAGGTTGGAAACCACTGGCTGGGAGCCGTCCCAGAACCCGGCCATCTGCGTGACCATCCTGATGCGTATCGATTGCAGATGGCACGTCGTGGATTTGTTGGGGGCTGATTTTTTTGTTTGTTTGTTTGTCGCTTCCAGATTAAATGCTTCAGCATCTCCTGGCTTTCACTCCGCCATACCATGTGCTCTGTGGGTACTTTCTTTAGCCTGACTTCTTTCAGTTGCTAAGGAGCGGAATCTTTGCTGTATGGAGCTGCACTCTTGCTTCACAGAGACAGCTGGAAACTGAGGCTCAGAGCCGCCCGGTGAATTCCACCAGGACGAAGTTGAACAGAGAACAGACTTTCATTGTGTGCAATTTGTGATAAGGAGCCATGATATGGGCCGTCACACCTTTTATCCACAAACACAGGTTGCCCTCAACTTTATTCAGCAGAACGTACTGGTGTATGGTTTCAGGGGGTCTCAAAAATTGTCTTTCTCTCTCCCCTTCTCTTCCTTTTGTGATCGTGCTTATTACTAACCCTCTATCCTTTCTTTAACTCATCCTCTTCCTCCTTCTCTCTTCCGTTCTCTCTCAGGGTATCTCTTTCTTCCCCTTTCTCTCCTCAAAAGTCTTATTTTTATAGATTGTCCGGTTTGGGGTGGAGCTTGGGGGATTGATTCGGCAGACACAGGGCTATGCTGTAGGTGTATCCTGCAGTCCTCTGAGATCCTGCCTCTTACAAGACATGGGAGGAGAAACTATACAGTAGGAGTGTGGCCTTGGGTTTATCTCCTTCCCACAGGCTGCTGTCTCGACCCAGAAACCCGGGGAAGCTGGGTGGCGACCCAAACAGGAAAAACAGCAAAATTAGGCGATTATCATTTGCTTCCCATGAGCCAGGCTCCCTCCTGCACCTTCTGACAGCTCAGGAGACCAAAAACCAAGACGGGAGGGAAGTTCAAGCTCAGCGGCTGGCTGACTTTGTAGGGCACGCTCTTCAGATGGAGGCAGTGGGAGAGGGCCAGAGAGCCCAGAGAAGGCACAGAGACAGAGACACTGAGGGACAAAGACGGCCAGCCACCTCGACGCAGAGAACCTGCGAGAGAGAATCAGACCACGGCAGCAGCAGCAACCGAGTCACAATAGAGAGACCCAGAAAACCCTCCCTAAACTGGGCACAATAATCCCACCTCTGGGGCCGGATTTAAACCAGAGACTCCAACGAAATAAAATGTGGGTTCAGATCCGATGGGCTTTGGAGGGTATTATGATGTCCTGGTTTGGTGGTGGTGGGAAATACATGCTTGTTTCAGGCTTACCCTGTGTCTTATGAAAAGAGAGAAAGAAAAAAAAAATCTCCCATATTCACGGGCTCAGTCTGAGAAAAAAAAAAGAACCAATAAAAATAATTTAAGGGCTGGGGATGTGGCTCAAGCGGTAGCACGCTCGCCTGGCATGCGTGTGGCCCGGGTTCGATCCTCAGCGCCACATACCAACAAAGATGTTGTGTCCGCCGAAAACTAAAAAATAAATATTAAAATTCTCTCTCTCTCTCTCTCTCTCTCTCTCTCTCTCTCTCTCTCTCTAAGTAATAATAATAACAATTTAAGTGTTTAAGTTATGTTTACATTGAGTTTCTGCCAACCAAAGTAGAGCATTCTGATTTTTAAGACTTATGATTTGCCCTTGCCTTTTGGGGTCTTCAGAGACCACCCTTTACACCCACTTCCTAACCCAGTATCGTCCTTAGAACTTCAGTGGTGATAAGGAAGCAGAGTGGTCTGCCTTTATGAGATCAGATGTTCCAAGAGCACCCATGGGTCCCCCCTTTGGGGTGGATGGGACTTGTGAGTGACGGCAGCTGTAGGGATGTCACCTTGGGATCTTCCAGGCCAATCCCAGCAAATCCACTTGCTTCTTGAAGCTCTAAATGTCATGGTGTTGGGACTCTCAAGACAGAGACCTGCTCCTTTGTAGGACATTGCTGAAATCCTAGGCCAATCGGAGGACCTGTTGACTTCCAAGGGATCTGGAATGTGGCCACCTGGCCCTCGACGCTGTATTGAGAGAGAGACTTAATTTAACTCAACAAAGGGATCAGATTCTTCAACAGGTTCATGGATACATGTGGTACCCCAGGTAATGGAATTTTTTTTTAATGGTCCATGGTAAAGGTGCACAAGATATTTTGATAGGCATCATGTAAGGAAATGGTTTCTAATTTTACCACAGAACATGGAATATTATTACTAATATCACTCGGCACAGGGCGGAGTGAAGGGAGCCAAAGGGAAAAGGCTGCATTTCATATGATGGCACCCGTACATTGTTGAGAAAGCAAAACCACAGAATCAGTGCAAAGACCAGTGGTGGCCAGGGGTTGTGAGGAAGGAGAATGAGTAGACGGAACACCACTCTGTGTGATACCATAATGGTGGGAAGATGTCTGCACATTTTTCAAAACCCATATTGTGCACAACACCGAGAGTGAATCCTGAGCAAACCACAGACTTCAGGTGATGAAGGTGTGTCCATGTAGGGTCACGCCTGTAACTCGGCCCCACTCCTGTGGGGACGTACATAGTGGACAAGGCCATGGGTGTGGGCAGCAAGCATGGCTTGGGGGAAGGGGGCATACAGCACCTTTATGAACCTTCTATTCAATTTTCTTTTTGAGAATCTTAAACTGCTTTAAAAATTAATGTCTATAATTTTTAAAAACGAGCTCTACGTATTAAAGATGACCATCTCACTGGGAAGGGTGCTATTTGAGATGGAAATTCTGTCTTCTCCTCTTTCCCATCTCCTCTGGAACTTGGTCCTGTCTTTTGTTCCTGTTGGGTTTTCCCTTTGATCTAAACCATTCCGGATGGGATACCTACTATGTGCTAGGGTTTCCTACAATATAGACACAAAAGGGGTTTAAACACAGAAATGCCACCAGTAATCCAGGGTGTGACATATGATAATGTTCAAACCCAGGGAAATCCAAACTCTGGGCTCTCCCACAACACTGCTTCCCTCTCTGAGAGTTGGCCTCGGGCCTGGTGGTCATTCATTTCCATGCAGGTTTCTATAGATTCTTATTTCACAGACAGGATCAAACCTTCCTTGCCCTTCTGTTCTGCATCTCAGTCCACAAAGATGACCTCAGGAGCAGTAGGTGGAAGCCTCCAGGACCTGATGTCAGGTAGCAGGAGTGGCTTTGCAGGACAGGGAGCTCTGCAGAGTGGTATGGGTTGCCTCTTTCAGTGCAGATCTCCCATCTGAGTAGGTATTCAGGCAGACAGTGGACAAACGGACCACAGCTTGTTAGGACAGCCTCCACAGGTGAGCTCATGGGGTCTGATATTGCCAAACGTGGGTGGGGAGATAGGTGACTTCTTCTTCTTAGGATTTTCACCATATTTGCAAAGTCAGGTTTAACCCAAATGGTTGAAAACCATTGAGACCAAGATTGAATGGGACCGTGGAATAGTTAGAGTTTCTTATTGAGTCATTTTCATCTGTAAGAATGGACCACTAAGAATAACGCTAATACAAACAGTAGCTGAAAGATTGGGGGGCTCCCCCTCTACTCCAATATAGAGGTCAGGGTGATCCTTGGGTCACTGCAAAGTACTAATTACAAAGGGGTAAGAGAATCTTATGGAGCTCATATATATTATGAAAATATATATTAATTTCCTATGGCTACTGTAACAAAGTACCAGAAGCCATTTGGCTTAAAATTACAGAAATTCATCCTCTCACCATCCTGAAGGCCAAAAGTTCAAATTCAAGGAGTTGGCATGGCCATACTCATTTCAAGGCCTGTTCCAGCTTTTGGTGGTCCCAGGTGTCCTGTGGCTGGCAGCAGCATCATTCCAATCTCTGCCTTCATGATCATATGATGCTCTTCTTGTCTGAGTACAGATTTCTCTTTGGGTATCATGTTGGGTATCAAGTCATCCTACTCCATTATGACTCCATCTGAAACTTAATTACACACAACAATCCAATTTGCAAATAAATTCTTATTTTGAGGTACTAAGGGATAGGGCTTTGACATATATTTTAGTAGTGGATGGAGGGGCAAAATTAAACCCATAACTATTATATATTTTCTGGGGATACATACATAATAAAAGTATTATTGAACATTATGATGTGCAGCATTATTGTGTTCTGTCTTTTTGAAGAGGAAACTAAGGCACAGAAATGTTAAGTTACTTTCCCAAAACTACTGTACTCAACTAACTTTTCTTAGTTACATAACTTTATACTTTTCCTGGAGTTGATCGTTGCCACATTTTTTTCATGTGTTTAGTTAAGAAAGTATTACACACTCTATAGAACACTAGGAATCCTTGTAATGTGTTTTCTTCACAGCCAAGTGGATCAGTTATTCGACTGGTCCTTCTGTTGTCCTGGGGGTAATCCATTCATATGTCTCAAATTTCTCCATTTTCCTGCTCACTTGTTTTAGTTACCCCCTCAGCCTGTGCCCACTTAAAATTACCTTTGCCTCTGATTTCTGCTCTATTCACACTTCCTCAGAAACCTTATTTTTCTGTCTTTTGTCTTTCTCTTTCATTTTGATGAAACACATTGTCCCACAGCTTTTTGAGAACATACACATTTGAAAAAAATATATTTTATATTATTATACATGATATCAATATATAATATAATATATAATATAAATATATTGTATATACTCTATATAATATCTATCTATCTATCTCTCTAGGATCCCCCTCATTCTAGATCTATTGATTTAGATCTATTGATTTAGATCTATTGATTTAATTAGGATAGAATTCTAATCTGGAAAACATTATTAGTCAGAATATCCAACACTGCTCTAGTGTTTTCTAGTTTTCAATGTCACTGTCAATATTATACTGATTTCTCCAACACTTTGTGCATTATCTTCCACTTTTATCTTTTCAAAAATTTAAAATTTTTCTCTACCACATGTTTTAAAATATAATGATGATATGTCTTGGTTTGACATTTTTTTTGTTTGTTTGTTTATTGTTGGAACTGGAGTAGTAAGAACATCTTTTACTCGGAATAATGTTTTTCTCATACTTTTTCTTTGATGATTTTCTTTCCTCTGTTATTTTTTTTCTATTGGGGGGCACTCTTTAGTGAAATTGTTGGATCTCTTGGATTGAATTAAATATCCATCAGTGTCTATATGTATCTATCAATATATTTGTGTGGGGCTTTTTTTTTGTTTGGTTCTTCTTCCTTGGTGTTATCTTCCAAATCTTATGCTTATTTATTTCCTTTGAAAGATCTTTTATGATGTTTTAACTTAAAAGAATGTCTTCATGCCCTCTGAAAATCCCTTTATTCGTTCTGTCCTGTTTCGTGAATGATGACAACATCATGTAATATGAGCTCTCGGGTTAGCTAATATTAATTGAGCAAGAGAGTATTTTAAGAACTTTATAATAAATTCGCTCCTTTAATCCACTGAACCACATGGGTTCAGGTAAGGGAATGGTTCTCCAGAGGCAAAAAAGTTCCCTGATGTGGAAGAGAGAATGGATATGGGTAGCTATAAATGGCAGATGCCCATCACAGTGCAGCTGCTGGTATCGAATGCCTATGGGGGTCCCGGGCACTACTGGGAGCACAGGGGCTGGGAACAGGGACAGGGGAATAAGTCATCATCCCTGCTTCGTTCCAGTCCTTTGCTATCATTGGAAGCTGGTGTCATTCGCCACTTGTCAGTCCTGATGCATTCCTCCCCCAGGGTCCTGGAGCCACCGGGAGCTCTGCGGGAAAGTCAGGCTGGAGCGGGAGGAGGGGAGCAGGGGACCTGGGTGTTGCTCCCTCTTCACGAAAAACCCTGATGGGAAAATTGTCAGCTGCCCTCCCACTCCCTCCGACAGTCAGGGTGATGCTGCATCCATCTTAATCACCACCGGAGAGAGCGAGCGTCTTAATAGGCAGCATTATTCATGGCGACTTTGTTCTCCTTTCCCACCTCGTTCCAAAATAAGACAGATGTGAACTTGGCATGAACTCCTCATCTGCCTCCCTGCCTCTTCTCTATACTCAAACCCACTATCTTCTAACATGACCCCGTGTGCTGGGAATAGGTGAGGAGCAGCTCTCTAGTGGAGGTGGTAGGCTGGAGGTGCCCTGAGTCCCTGGAAGTTGGAGCTTGCTGGACCTACCCCTGAGACTCAACCATTTGTATATCTAACAAGCATTCATTAGTCACCTAGTGTGTACTTTGCAGCTCACACAGTGATCAGATATGATATCTCTACCCAGAGGAACTAGATGCTGGTTCATTTGACAAATACTTTTGAGCTGTGGGACAGATTCTAGACGAGGCGATTCGAATGCATACGATCCCTGCAATTCATGACATTGTGACTGACACCCTTCATGTTATTGAGTACCCATGTGTTTCAGGCACTGTGCCAGATCCTGGCCTCACAGAGACATTGGAGAGTCCAAACTCTTATGCTGCTCAGAGTCTGAAAGAGGAGAAAGTTAGGAGAATAAAATAAATGGTAAAGTGCATCGTGTATCATACGTGCTATGGATGACAGGGCCTATCTTGACATCTCTTCTTCTAGTTCAGATGAGTGGATTTCACCCTTGTCTTGGGAATGGCATGTGAACAGGGCTCAGCAAATTGAGCACGGCATCTTTGAGGACATGGAGGTTGTTTCAGAGATGAGACTGTTACTCAGGCAGGGATCATAACGCAACCCAGAGACGTGACTGGGATTATTTAGCAGAGGTGCTCTATTTGGGCTAGGGGCACTGGGTATGTGCAGTCCTCCTGCCCACACAGGGAGAGAACTTCCCTCAGAACAAAACCAACACAAAGTACAAGGGAGCCCAGAGATGGAGCAAGACTGTGTTAGTCCATTTTCTATTACTAAAACAAAATATCGGAGGTTGATTAACTTATAAAGAAAAGAGGTGGATTTACCTCCTAGATTTGGAGGTTGCAAATCCAAACAGCATGCCACAAGCTCTGGTGAGGGTCCCTTGACTCTGTCACCTCCTGGCAGATGGCATCATGGTAGGAGCACATGCAAGAAGGAGAGATCACATGGTGCGTCAGGAAGCCAGAGAGTGGGGAGGGATTATAAAGGAATGGCCGGGCTCATTCCTTCATCATAAACCGTCTCGTGGAAGGAAGCCAGCTGAGGGTCCCACAAGAATCACCTTCATCCCTTAGAAGGACACGCCACCATGACTTAACCAGGTCCACCCCTGAAAGGTGCCACCACTCTGCAACGTTGTCACCCTGAGGACCAGCCTTCTGACCTGAGGGTGGGGGGCAAATCTCATCCTGACCACAGCAGGCACCAAGCCACCGTGACGTGACTGGAGTGTCCGGAAGCAGTCGTCCCTGAAGTGGGACAATTAATGCCAGAATAGCCCCAAACCCTTCAGTGAGCTCCTGCCGTGATGTGACACGGTTCAGTTCTGTCTCTCGGGAGCGGGAGACTCGAGGCCCCGACTCCTCCAGCTCTGCAGGCTTTGCGGAGCCTGGGACGGGCCACGGGTCAGGTGTCTCCCATTCCCACCGTGGGAATCACTTTTAGGTACAGAAGAGATATTGGCAGCAGGGACTATCACTGACTTATACGCTGAGAAGGAATTTTTTTTTATTCTTACTCAGTCAAACCAACAGACCCCAAGATGCATTTATACTCAGAGAACCACACATGTGCTATTATCTCATGAATGTGTCAAAAAGTGAGAAGGATCAAGACCCGTGGGGACCAGGTGCCCTGGTTCTCCTCTCTGCTCAGAGTGGCCTGGCAGTCCCGGCCAGGTAACGGTTTGCATCTGGCATTTACCTCTTGACTCGTGGAGGAAGTATCTGCGTCAAAGAATCCTGCTGAAATCCAATTAAGAAATGTTCATGTATATGTATGTATATGTATGTGTATAAATATAACTGTCAGAGTTCTCCAGAGAAACAGAACCAATCACATATATATAATGTATATTGTATAGTATATATGATGATATATATATATATGTAATATTATATAATATGATTTATTATTATTTATTTTATTATTAGGGTTTGACTTATGCAATTTTGAAGACTTGGAGGCTGAGAAGTCCCATGATCTGCTGTCTAGAAGCTGGAGTTGAGATTTGGATTTAGGTTTGTGCAAATTCCAAAGAAAACGCTTCTGACCTCCATGCTAAGGACTCCATATATCTTCCACTCTGAAAAATTATTCTTAACTGGAAGTCACCAGAAATTTTATACAGAAACTCTGCGTGTGTGTGTGTGTGTGTGTGTGTGTGTGTGTGTGCGTGTTAGGTGAATGGGTGCTTTGTGAAGAGTATGGAAAAAAATCCTGAGCTCTTAGCCTATTAGACCTCTAAGAGGATGTGTTGAAGAACCATTCAAGATGGGAGACTAAAGATCAGGGAGAGGAGGGGATAAATACTGAGGAAAGGAGGTCAGAATCCGGGACATAAAAATGGGCTCAGGTGTGAATCCTGTCTCTGCTCCGCACACGTGACCTTGAGAAATTCTTCTTATTCACCTTCAACCTGTTCATCTACAAAATGAAACCTACCTCATAAGGGGGAGGGGGATCTCATAAAATAACCTGTACCATGTTTGCTAACAGGTGACTCCCTAGGTCTAGGGAACATAGAGTCACGTCCAGCACATGCTAATCACCAGGCGGGGTGTTGACTAAGTGAAATCAAGACCTGCTCAATGATTGATGGTCACTGTTACTCCCATGAACACACTGCTGGCCTCTCTGCATCCCTTCCTCGTCTGCCCCTTCCTGTTTCAACTGTCCTTTCTTCTAGCTTACCGCCCACCCATCATCAAAGACCCTGGACATCTCTCAACGTCTCCCTGGTCTCCTAAGCCTGAATACAGACTCTCCTTCCCTGATCTCCTTTGGTCTGCAGCTTCCTGGTCACTTGCCCACACCCCCTAGTAGACTGTGGTCCTTGAGAGTGGGCACCAAGTCTGACCAGACCTCAGTAAAATCCCTTGTGCCTATCAATGGAGTATAGTACAGAGTAGGTGCTCAGTAAACATGCACGTGTTGATGAATATATGCATGAAACCTAACAGAAGTCTTCACTCTCAAATACCTGTGCTGAGCACCTATTTGCTTCCAGGTGCCCATCAAGGAACAAGTCCTGCCCTTGAGCAGCTTCTGCTCAAGTGGATCTGAGCAGAGGCCAAATGCTAGAGGCCATACCATCACAAGAATTGAGAGTGCTTATCCTTCCCACTCACTCCTGGGTCCTTGCTTCCTCATTCCTGCCCTGGGAGGAAGGGGAAAACTGAGACTCAGGCTTGAATGCTTTATTGCCTCCTGCTAGGTTCTCACTCGCTGGCCACCTCTCCGCTGAATTGGATGTCCCTGCTCAGCATCGTTGCTCTCATCTGTAAAATGGGAACACTGATGTCCTTGCAGGACGAATGTCTAATGAAATGATGCGTGGGAAAGTATTTCAAAGAGTCAAAGTGCTGGACAATGTGAAGAATTCTAAGTAAAAAGCCAACAACGCGGGAAGAATGGTTGTCCTACTTACTTGGTTGGTCTGAAACAGGACCCCAAGACGTGGAGGCAAAGTACCATCAGGGGACACTTTCTTCAGTGCTAGCTGAGTCGGTGACACGTGCCTTACGGGTGTTATGCGGCATGTGCAACATTTCTATGAACTGGGTCATTTGATGTTTGCCTTCAAAGAGGAAATCGATCTCAAAGGTAACTTGAGCCAGGTCGGGTGACAAATGAGAGGCAAATCTTGGATTAAAACCTAAAACCATTTGACTCCAAAGAGCCATACCAGCTTTTTTTTTTTTTTTTATCAGCAAACTAGTTTCCCAACCTTGCTTACTTGTGGCTGCATATTTATGTCTCCAAGAATATCAGCAGCCTGTGTGCACGGCCGTGGCTCCATCTGCCATTGACCCAGAACTTCCCTCTTCACCCTGGGCACATTCCATCATCGAACCCCAAGGAAAGAAAGGTGCTGGGTTCATTGGGTCAAAGCAGCATTTTACAGAATGTTCTCGACACCTGCAACTTAAATCACTCCACGGAGAGACCATTACACGGTTTACCTTCGCTCTGATTTGGAAAAGGGCACTCCCGCAGAAGACTCAGGCACAGAGCATTTACAGTAAAACCCGGGTCTCTCTCCCGCCTAAGACCCCAGCCTGCCTCAGAGACAGCTCCTGAAATGATCTGTGTTTCCAGGAAAGCTCTGGGTGCAGATGTGAGCACTCAGCGTGCAAGTGCCAGCCCTCCAGAGCAGGGTTGCAACCAGGGCTGCGTTTGTGATCCCCCTACTTCTCCCCAGCTCACACTTGGCCATGTCTGGTGACCGTTCCAACCTTCATTCTTAGAGGTGGCTGTGGTCACTATTGTCAGCCAGTGTATCAAGGATTCTACTAGACATCCTGCAAGGAAAGGGACGGCTTCCTCCCCTTCCCCCAGCAAAGACTCCTACAGCCCTGGATGCTAATATTGCCAAAATCCAGAAACCCTCATTGAAGGGAATCGTTTTGTACCTGCATCTAAATACTTAGTAGAACATGTAAAACATTTTTTCCATAAGGGCTACTTCTCAGTGTTTCAAACAACTGCAGATTATCTATATTCTCAGAGATGCCCTATTGAGTCCCTGTTGATAAGCAAGTGTGTCATTTGCAGAGCAGGGCAGTTACAAACAATGCAACCAGGGGGAAAGTGCATCTGAACATATTTTTGCACAGAGATTAATGCGTCCGTAAGGTTCACCCATGGAGGGTCAAATGGCGGGGGGACGGGGGGCAGGGTCACTTTTCCTTCACTTGGACACGTCTTTCTGAATCGTTCTTGGAGGAAGCGGCGTGGGCTGACCTTCCTTCCGCACTCTCACCCACCAGAGGTTTTAGCAAACATTTGCATTTTTGTCAACCTGATAGATAAACAATTTGAACCTGCTGCTATTTAAAACAGCATTTCGTTCATCACACGCGTGACTGAGCATCTCGGGTGTGCCCGAGTCATCCCGAGTTCCTAGAAACCGTCCCTCTTGGTGCAGGCGCAGGAGACATGCCCTTTCAGAACAGGCTTCGTTTTAGCACCTCTTTCTCCCCGTCCTGCAGCCTCCCGATTCTCCAGCAGAGCCCCCGAGAAAGTGTGAAGATGATGTCAACACACGACGCGACAGATACCCGCTTCTCAGAAGCCGGCGTGATCTAGAGCCAGGTTGGGAACCCCAAGTCGGCTCCCCCACCTCCCTAATGGGGCTGGGGTCATTTCAGGCCTTACCTCTCTATAAGCAGAGGCTGCTGTCTCCAAAGAGCTCAGGAGAAATTACAGCTGGAGGAATTTTGAAGCAGAGCTGGTGCCTGAGAACAAAGCAGATTGATTTGTCTCAGGGATGTTTATAAACCAAGTTTCTGTTTCTAGGGGTGGAGAGGAAGGAGTGCCCTTTATTCTGTAAATCATGGGGTTTACAGAATAATGGGTATTATTATTCTGGGAGAAGTGATAGCACATCACCACCCCCACGGGGGGGGGGGCATGCATACCCACGTAGGCAGGTTTCACCCCCCAGAGCCGGATGTCACCTGGGATGGTCAGGAAATAAGGATCTCTGCTTCCATATGGACAGCTCAGCACACATGTGCTGTCCCTCAGGTCCCCAGGGAAGAAAGCTATGGGCTAATCCTTTTATGGGGCAGCTGAGTATTGAGAGCACCTGAGCATTCAGGAGTGAGCTTCCCATCGGGAGCTGGCAACCCATCAATTAATTCTGTTTTAATTGCATGACCAAATGCCTGTCATTCCTTTATACTTCAAACGTCGTATTCGTTGTGACACCTTATTAGCTTACAGAGAGAGGAGGGCAAAGAGAATGGACCCAGTGTAGCCTTTGGTTATGACGAGGCCTCAGAGAATTCATGGGCTCCTTCATCTGAAATATCACCTGGGATCCCAGCCATTAGGGAGGCTGAGGCAGGATGATTGGCAGTTGGAGACCAGCCTCAGCAACTTAGTGAGACCCTGTCTCAAAAAATAAAAAAAAAAGGGCGAGGGATGTAGCTCAGTGGAAAATTGCTCTGGGTTAAATCCTCAAGGTGAAAAAAAAAAAAGTTGAAATATATTATATTTTTTATGCAAAATATTCACTGTCTATCCCCAAAGCAGTGCCCATTAATATCAGGGTTGGGCATGAGACAGGCTAGGCCCATGGAATGTGAACCAAAGTGACATGGGCCATTAGGACCCGAAGTTTAGTCCTTGCGTGGTACTCCACCTCTTGGGTGTTCTCTGAGAGTATGATCATGGATTTCCCAGAGAGACTACTCTCATCACTCTGGGTATTTGTTTTGATTGCTGTGACATTTAGACTCAGAAAATGAAAGTCCTCTAATTTTTTTCTTTTTTTTTTTTTTAATGTTCTGACTCTCTATGGTCCCTTGAATTCCAATGTGAATTTTAGAATCAGCCGTCAATTGCTGCCCCTTCAATTGACATATTTGGATATTTGGATATTCATCAAGTTAAATCTTGAAATCAATTTAGGGAGAATTGCCATCTTAGCAATGTTGAGTCTTTGTATCCATGAAGATAGGCCATTCGCCATTTATTGAGATTTCCTATCGTTGCTTTCAATGATGCTTTTAAATTTTCAGTGTAGAAGTCTTACATTTCTTTTGTTTAACTTTGTAAGTATTTTTAAATTATTTTTGATGCTATTGCTAATGAAATTGTTTTCTTAGTTTTCATTTTTTTTTCATTCAATGCTTCCATATAGAAACAGAATGGTTTTTACATATTTATCTTGTGTCTTGTTACCTGCATAAAATAATGTATTCTAATTGTTTAAAAATAATATTATTTACTTGGGATGTCAAATATACAAGATCATGTCATTTTCAAACAGATGCCAGTTTTGCTTCTTTCTTTCTAATCTAGATGCCATTTATTTGTTTTTCCTGCATAATTGTGCTAGTTAACAGCTCTGGGGCCATGTTGAATAGAGTGGGCCTTCCGTCTTGATGTCGACTTTAGGGGGAAGCATTCAGTCTTTTTACCATTGTTAGCTGTGTTTTTTTTTTTTTTTCTTAGCTGCCTTTTACCACATTGAAGATATTCTCTTCTTAGTTTATTCCACATTTGTTGGAATATCCCTGTGATTTTTTTTGCTCTTAATTCTATTAATTTGGCATGTTGCAATTGACTGATTTTCTTATATTCATATATTTTAACCATCTTTGAGATAAACCTCACTGGGTCACAGAATAAAATCCTTTTTTATGTTTTGCTGATTATGTTCTTCTATTATTTTATGTAAGTTTTTTGCCTCTGTATTCAAAGGAGACATTGTTTTAGAATTTTCTGTCATATCTTTGTCTGATTTTAATATCAGAATAATATCGGCCGAATAGAATGAGTTAGAAATTATCCCCTCCCCTTTTTGTTGGGATTCTTTGTGAAGGATCACTGTTTCTTACTTCTGTAGATGTTTAGCAGAATTCACCAGTGAAAACCAAGGGTCTGGGACTTGTTTTGTGTGCATTTTTAAAATTATTAGTTAATTAATTTTGATTCGATATCAGCAACTCACGCCTTTCCGGGACTTGTCATGAAAGTTTTCTGATTTTGGGGTCTCTAATTGTTTATAACGGTCTCTGATAATTCCTTTCATTTCTGTAAGATCAACAGTAATGACCTCACTTTCATTTTTAGTCTTGGTTATTTGTGCCTTCTAGATCTTCAGGGGCAGGTTGCAGAATTCCAAAACCAGTGATGTACATTCTATTCTTCATCTTTTTCTCTCATGTTTTTTCATCTACATTTTATTTGCACAATTTTTTTTATGGCTACCCCAGCAGCTGCTATATTTAACAACCACCCCTTATTGTTTGTTGGCAAACTCGCCTCCCGGACAGAGGTTGTCCACAAAGAGAAAACTCTAAGTCAGATCAAATAAATAACAATATTTGTGAGCCAGTATTCCCAGAGAACTATCAGAGAGGTCAATAATGACAATCTTCTGAGAACCAGGCTTCTGGTTGTTAGCCTTTCCCATGAGTGCTAAGATTCAGATTTTTCACTTTGTTTTCAGGGTTTGGGTTTCCAAGGCAACCAAGGAACTGGGGAGGGACCCGGGGACAGGGCAGGTGTAAATTCCACAGGTCTTTCTATTCTTAACAATATTTAACTGTTGTTGTTGAACAAAATCTCTTTAGATTTTTGTGAGCATATTATTAATTTTCAGGAGTCCTGAAAAAGTCAATTTGGACAAGTTTTATGAGAGTTTTCAATGCCTTTGTGAAACACCAGGGGTTTGGAAGACTTTATTATTACCATTCCCACGGATGTCCCTCTGACGGACATTAAATCCTAGTTGAAGTGCTTTACGTTAATCGTCATTTTAAAAAATATTGCTTCCACTAAAGTCTTCACAAAGGCATTAGTTCAATTTGTCTTATTTCTCATCATTATCTTCTGCCTGGTACGGTGCCCACTGTCTAGCAAGCACTCGGTTTGTGTAAGATGAATCCAGGAATGAGTAAAAGAATCAATGAAACTGCTCTACCACCAACCAAGAGTTAAACCCAATGAAAAACGATAACTAATCAGGTTTCATACTCAGGTGAGGTCTTATTTTCTTCATTGCAAAAAATAAAATAAATAGATCATAAGATGCACCATCAATTCAGAAACTGAGGATGGAATAAATAATCAACCTTTTTATTGTGTGTGTGGAACGGGGTATCACAGGTGTGATCTATCCCTGAGATATAGCCCCAACCCTTTTTTAATTTTGGGTTTGGGCCTCACTAAGTTTCTGAGGATGGTCTCTAATTTACAATCCTCCTGCTTCAGTCTCCCAAGTCACTGGGATTACAGGCATGCATCATCGCACCCAGCAATATCATCTGTTTTCGGAGAACAAATAATACTAAATACATTTCACCTGATGATAACACATTCATATTAACAACATGTCCAAGCGATGAACAGACAGGAAATGGAAAAGGGGTGATGACTCATCCTTTCCCTTCTATCAGTCACTTTGTGACATAATAATTTGTTCCTTAAAGGAAACATTTGGATATTGTTCTCATAGGGAAATAACTCCATCTTAAAAGCATGGATTAGGAGTCTTGAAATTTGAGTTCGAATGTTGTTCCCTCCCATTAGCTCTCTGATCAGTATCTTTCTCCTCCCTATGCCTTAGTTTGGGCGCCTCTGAAACGGGTGTGGAAGGCTGAAACAAATGGATATCTTCTAACTGTGATGTCAACAGTCCATGATGAGCCAGACACGGTGGCGCAAGTGGCCGGGGAGGCTAAGGCGGGAGGATCGCGAGTTCAAATCAGCCTCAGCAAAAGCATGGCACAAAGCAACCCAGTGAGAGCCTGTCTCTAAATAAAATACAAAATAGCACTGGGGATGTGGCTCAGCGGTCCAGTGCCCCTGAGTTCAGTCCCTGATACTCTCCCCCCACCGGAAAAAAAAAAAAGAGTCCGTGATGAGCTGTGAATAAAGTATGCTCTGTTTGGGAAGACTTGAGAGAATGAGAAATTGGAGACCATTTGGCACATTCACTGGAAGAGATGAAATGTTCCCAGGGAGACATTATTTCCCAGCGGATCCTCCCCGCTGGTAATGCTTCCCAGAGAAGCGCCCATCCCTGCCCCTCCATTCTTATCCCATTTGTAAAATGACATCTGCCTAGTTTGAGGCTTGACGGTCTCTTTTCCGGCTCCCTCTCCCTGCCCCTCTGTCCAGGTGGCTGCCGCCACTCTGCTGGGTTAATTTTACCCTGTCACCCATGGGAATGAGCCTGGGCTGACTGTGCTGTCTGTTTCAGGGTGGAAGGTCATTGTCATGACTCCCTCCAGGGTGGTAGAGAGTCTGGGGCCTGCGGCCTGCAGCAGGCCACATCCACGTGGACTCAGCCGGGCAGCAGGAGGGATACAGATGAGGCAGGGGCCTTTCTTTTCAACTTTCTGGAGGTGTGTGTGCGTGTGTGTGTGTGTGTGTGTGTGTGTGTGCGCGCGTGCCAAGGCATTATATATGTTGCTCCATTCATTTGTGTCTGGTGCGAGCTGCTGCATATTTGCATAACTGCAGACCTTCACGTCTGCGTAAAGCTGTGACTCTGCCTTTGCCACAAGGACAGTGCTCTGTTGATGAGGTGTAATGCGTAATGAGTAAGATCAGACTGTCTTTGTCAACATCTTAACTCTACCGCTGATATCTGGGTGGCCTGGAAGAAGGCACGGTCCACTCATCTGCAAAATACAGGTAGTTCTAATACCTGCACCACCGAGATGTGAGGACCCGACACAAATGTAAATGCCAAGCGCTCACTGCCTGGCACATAGGAGGAGCCCAGTAAATGCCACCTAAAAGTACAACCCCCATCACCTCTTGTCCCCTTTCTTTGTCTTATGTTTTTCCTTTGCGGTGACTATTTTGGCCCTCCTACCCCTCCAGCCGAAATGCAGGGTCCACAGAACCAGTAAATTATCAGTT